TAAAATGCACCCCAGATTCACAGTCAAATTTCATAGTAATGGTTTCGTTTGTGTTTTCAGTTGAGGTCATGGATCCAGGGATTGATGTATCCCTACAGGACCTATCAAGACCGTTTGTGAAATTTACTAAGCCTTGAAGTGGATCCATTGTGCTAAAAGAGATAAGTGGACTTGGACTAGCCATGTGTCTCTATATCTTTATTGTCAAGCTAGGAAATATTCATTATCATGGAATTCGAATATAATCACACTGCAACATAAATACGGGCTAGCAAACCGGGTCACTAAAGCCTGTGGAATGTCGCTGCAGAGCGCGACACAACACCAAACTAGTAATTATTATTATACTTAATATAATTAGAGGTACAAGTTCTTTACTGTTGCACAAGAATACCTCTAACCCGCACTACTGTCATCTAACTTTGCTCGCTTGGGAATATTTTGTCAACACATGGCTATTGCAGTGATCAGTAGAGGACGGATTATTATTTCTTCTTTTTGGTATTGGCTAATTCATATGAGAGTTGGTTATGTTTTAGAGTTTTATTAAATTAACCCAAGTTCAAAATTTAGCATTAGAGAATTTTGTACTAAAATTATAGTTCAATCGTGGTTAAATCAGGCTTGACACATTGTTCCAATTCGAGTCTGGATTTATGTTTAGGAAAAAATGAAAAATTGTAAAACCATAATGAAGGTCGTACCGGTAAAGTTAACATTAAGGTATTTTATGCTAAAATCGTGATTAAATCAGGCTTGACAAGTTGCTCCAACCCGAGCCTCGAAGCATGTTCATAAGAATAAAAAATTGTAAAATCATACCGAAGGTCGTACCATAAAAATTAGCATTAGGTCATTTTGTACTAAAATTGTACTTTAGCCGTGATTAAATCATTTCATAAATCTAAAATCACCTATCCATTTAGATTTTGTTAGAAGTTTTTCTATTGCACCGCCATTATGGTACAATCGTAGTTCAAGCGTGGTTACATCAGACTAGACGCATTGCTCCAACCCGAGTCTTGATTTATGCTCAGAAAATACCTAAAATGGTACAACCGTACTAAATGTCATACACAAAAGTTAGCATTAGGGTATTTTGTGCTAAAATCATAATTCTATCGTGGTTTAATCAGCCTTGACACGTTTCTCCAACCCGAGCATAAATTTATGTTCAGAATAACAAAAAATTGTAAAACCATTCCTAAGGTCATACCGAAAAAGTTAGCATAGATTACAGTTGCTCTAACCGAGCCTCGATGTACATAGAAAATAAAAAAAATTGTAAAACCACACAGAAGGTCGTACCCGTAAAGTTAGCAATATAATATTTTGTGTTAAAATCATAGTTCAGTCATAGGTAAACCAGGCTTGAGACGTTGCTCCAACACGAGCCTTGACGTATATTCAGAAAATACCCAAAATTGTAAAACCATATCGAAGATAGTACAAAAAATGTTAGATGAGGACATTTTACGCTAAAAAACTATATCAGCCATTATCTATAAAAAAAAACTATATCAGCCATTAGATATTAAGATATTATTTTATTTGTGTATGGACAACCGGTACAACTAGTTCTGTGATTTTTTTTTGAATTCTCTTATCCTTCTCCTCTCCACGCAGATCCCAAACCTTCTTCTCACCGCTGACATCCATTCTTCCTTCGATCCTCTTCCTTCGATCTCGTCGCCGCCATTACCTCTCCCTATTCGAATGCGGCGAGCCAGATTCTGACGACGACAGTGAAGGCGGCAAGCAGGGGGTGAGGACGAGAAGAAGAAGCTCGTCGATTGCAGCAACTCTTTGACTGCGGCGAGCCGGATTCCGACGACGACAGTGAAGGCGGCGAGCAGGGGACGACGAGGCGAGCATCTCTTCGTCGATTGTGTTTCGCGGAAAAGGGGATTGTAGCACCTCGTCTCCTCCATTACCTCTCCATATTCCCCTGCACAGAACCCCCCTCTTCGCATCGATAGCAAAAGACCGCTGACCTACCTCCTCCACCACAACATTTTCCGGTTAGTATGCCTATCAGTTCTACAATTTTATTCAATTTTCCGGTTAGTATGACTATCAGTTTAGGGATTATGTTGGGATGTTCTAGATTTACAAATTTCGGTAGGGGGATTGAAATTCCATGTCCTTTTTCCAGGTTGATGTCCTTGTACTATCTTCTTTGTGTTTAGATTGACGAATCAGTGATCCATTCCAATTAAAAAATGACGAATCAGTCGTCCATTCCATGTAAGTGGCAGAACTTCTGATCCCCCTTGATAGACATTTGATTTCTAACATGGGTTAAAGTTAGATTGGGTAAATAACTTGTTGTTGTTCATGATCTGTGTTAGCTTTATCCACTCTCTCAATTCCATGCTTTTATTTCCAATTCCACGAAATGGATCAATAGATTGCTTTGTGGGAAATGATTTCTCCCTGTAGTTTACTAGTACAAGTTGCTTGTTTTGGGGTTGATAGGCCTGTTTATACCATCTGAATAGCTAAAACGATTGGGTCTGACGAGGGCTTTCTTGTTCCTTCTTGAGAGCCTCGTCCAATTTCCAATGTTTGTTGGTTTTGATCTCGTGGTCACCTAGTAGACATTACGAATTGGGAGTGTCTGTTCTCAGAGTGGGTTAGAATTGGGAGTTAGCCATAATTGGATAAGTGTGTTTCTGTTTTGGTTTGAAGATTTGTGCATTTGTGTACTGGGGATACACTATTCTATAAAACTTCATTCTTCAATGGACTGCTGCGATTATTCATTATGTGCCTGTAGACTGCCTCATGTTCCAATTACTAAATAATTTGGATTTTACTGTTTTGAGATTAAATGAATCAGTAGTCCGAGTCACAAGCGGGATTGGATTGCATTGAGTGCCTGTTAAAAGCAAATCGGAGTTCCATAATCCTGATTCTTGTTCAAACCCTCTAAAAGCGTTCTACATTTTTTAATTATTGTCTCAATAGTTAGAGACTCAGAGATAGAATTGGTTTACTGAGTTGATTTATTGTGTGATCATATGAAGATCTTGACCACTTAGATAGTAATGTTCAAGTGTGGCAGGGTTTGTAATTTCACTTTCTTTGTGGGGGCACTAAAGAAAAGGAGAGTAGTGATTCTGTTACTTGACTCTCTCTTCTTTTGTGTCTCTTTTGTTCTCTCAGTTTACTTTGTTCCCCCATTTTGGCTTCAATCAGAAGGGAGCAGTACCAAATAGCCCGTAGGCTGATTGATATGGTATGAGTGGTCCGTGCACTTAAATTGAACGGTTTTCATTGTTTGTGTTCATCCAATTGGCTGTAGTTGAGATTGTTGTCTGAGATTGGTAGGAGAGCGTCTCCATTATCAATATAATAATTTTTTTCATCATTCATGTGGAGTTTCGAGAGCTATTGAAGAGTTTCCTAACTGACCTTACAGTTTGAGTATCGAATAATAGTGTTTTAGCTGCACTTCACAGTGGTGATACATTTTCTTATATTGTTGGATGATACATTAGCTAGTTGTCATGCATAGACCAAACAAAATTTAGACTCAATTCTCTTTCATTGAATGTTCTCTTACAAAGATCTGAATTTTGCAATTACAGGATAGAGAAAGTCTGACTGCTGCTATTCTGGTGATTGTAACACTTGTTCTGTGCTACTGGGATTTCTAGGGTTTTTATGGCAAAAGAGACAGTTGTAAGTGTATGGGAATCCCACAAACCAAGGTGTGACTCGGCCCAAGTTCAAGCATAGCAAGCGATCGATTGCGGAGGAACGTGCTAGGAGGAAGTTTGGTGGACTCAAGGTTCTCAATTCTTACTGAATCATCGAGGTATGTACAGTTGGACACCACATTTAACTTCATTGTAACTTATATTCAACAGAATAATGTAGACTTGAATCGATAGTGTTGATAGATAGAGTGAACCAGATTCCCTGTTAGTGTAGCTTATTTTGATGACCAGATTAAACCCTATTTAGCTTATTTTGGTGGCTGCAAAGTTCTTTTCCATATCTCCCCCCTCTTATTCTTGATGGTGTTATGTTTCCCAAGTTAGTAGGGAAATCAGTTGAATTTTTCAATGTCAAAACTTGTTGAGATTGAATGAGATCAGAGCTGGGAAAATGAAGTATTATGTTTTGCTTATCTCATGAAAAGATGTCATGGCTGTGAAATTTCCAAAATTTGCTGTGAGAATGTTTAGTGGAATCTGGGTGTTTTTAGTTTCACGGCTTCGTTTAACGACCGTGATTTATGAATCCAATGCCGTGAGATTGCCTGGGGATACGAAAACTGCTTTTTACTTCTCACGGGGCATGTCACGGCCGTGAGAATTCGAGAATGAACCGTGAGAACTATTTAATGAAAGCTGGGTGTTTTGGGTGAAATTTATATATGCCAATGGCGGATTTCATGGTTAATTAGTGTACTCAGGTATTGATGTAGGGGGTTTCAGTTCTTATGGTAGTTAGAACTTGATACCGAGGCAAGTGTGCTTGTGAGCTCTGGTATAGTCTTGCATTTGTTCAATATTGATAGAAGCCATATATTGAAAACCAGGATTGAACTCATTACCTGGAGAATGTGTTTACCAAATAATTAAATGATCCTTTTCTCGAATGAAACTTTGTCATAACCACGTTTTCTAGAATGTGTTTAAGTGTGAAAGTTGCTTCTTTAGATCAGTGGTGGACGACTCTGGCTTTGTGTATTTTGTTTGTACTCTTAGGCATGCTTATAATTTGTGTTTCAAGGCATGCTTATAATTTTGTTGTTGTTTTAATTTTGCAGTTTGTTAAAATTGTTCTATAATGAAGAAGAAGAGGCATGAACTTTTTAGCACGCGATGTTCTCCTAGGAAAGTATTCTCACTAGTCTCAAATTTAGAGGCTTGTCAATCAGAGGCCATTAAGAGATGTGGCTTTGGTCGGATTCTTGAAGTCAAAGGAAGAATGCTACAACGTGAGTTGTTGGAGAAACTTTTAAAGAGCTTTAATCCAGAAGAAAGCACAATGCAGGCATATGGGTTGAAAGTGCATATTTCGACCAAAGATTTCGAGCGAATTATGGGCGTGCCTGAGGGAGGTACTGATATCATCTTGAATGGTGAAGAAGTGGGAGGAAGATCCGAGGAACTGAAACCATTTAGAGTATATTCGACACCTGATTGTGCCCGACAGGCGATTTCCACAAGCTTAATGCGGAAGGCGTTGTCGAAGATAAAAGATAGCGGCGATCTATTTCTTCAAACGTTTATTTTGTACGTAATGGGGGTGCTATTAGTACCTACTAGATGAGATGACATTTCGTTATCTTCGGTATACGCTGTCACCGATGTTGCGGACATTCCGAAGAAGAATGGGGCATCCTATTGCTTCAATGAATTGGTTAAATGCATCTGCGACCATAATGCTGATGGGAGAAAGTATATACCGGGTTGCTTGCTATTTTTGGAGGTAAATAATTGCTAATCCCTTTTTTCTACATATTCGTAATGATTAATCATCATGTTGATTATAGTTTTTTTGTAGTTAATATTCTTGGAGCATGCAAATGGTATTTTCCAAACCATTGATGGAAGTTTGGATTTGATGAGTTGGGGGAGCGGAGACGTAGATTTATTGTTAACGAAAGTGGTAAGACTGATAGTTCAAAATGGTATATTTGTTTCTTCTGACAAGTTTGAGCATGCTAATGGTACATTTGGTTCCCTTTTTAATTAATTTATAGGTTTCCAGAAGTTCGGGGAAAAGATCATCTGAGAATGCAGGTTTGAAATCACCTCCAAGGAAATGGGAAAAAAGGGACGGGAAACGGCACAAAACCGACGGGGATGAGATGCTTCTCTGTGAGCGTATTGATGCTCGGTTTAGTACCATAGAGGCTAGATTTGACAACTTCAGTCAAGAATTTAAAGTCGCAATGGGTGATGCTGCTTCCATAGGTGAGGAGCTAATGGGTCGGGTTATGAAAATGGAGAATGAATTTCGGGCATTTAGAGACGAAATTGGTACTGCAGTGAAGTCAATTATAGAGGAAGTGAAACCGACTATAGGTGACCCGTTGTCAAGGGAGCAGCCTACGGAATCGAAAAAGAATGATCAGAAGGATGCGGTTGATAATGTGAAAGCTTCTGCAGCTGTTTTATTGTCAACGGAGTAGCTTATCAAAGGGGAAAAGGGCAATGAGAAGGGTGAGGTTGAAAAACCAAGTGAACCCATTTCTCCTACCTTTGAATGTGTCAAGACTCAAGGGTTAGGTGTTAAGAATTGGGGAGAGGCTGAGGGGGAAATTGGAGATGACAGCTTTTCTGAATCTCCTTCCGTCAAAGTTGTGAAAAAGTCTCCTTGCAAGCAGGTGAAAGCGTCTAAAGTGAAATTCATACTTTTGAGTGATGAAAGTGTTGCTACTAATGATGGTTGTGCCAAGAATGTGAAGGTATTACACTTGATTAAGTTTTCTAATTATTTGTTCTTATGGTGTGGTTACTAATGAACTGGTTTTGTTTTTATGTTTTTGAACAATAAAGGGGCGCAAGGGAGGTGGACTACGTAGTGTATCTAAATTGAAGCCTAGTTTGTATGTGGTCTCTCCATTCGAACGGGCAAATCCCAGAGCTAAGAAAGCACAATCTTTGTACCTTGCTCCTCCCTTTGTTGTTAAGACACCATTAACTCTGGAGGCAGTAAAGATGATTCAATTTGCTTTTAGTAGTAAGCTTCCCGGAAGGTACCTCCCAAAATCATTACAAGTAAGATTGGATCATATTTGTAGGATGTTTTTGGTATTTGCCTTATTCTAATGTTGTGGTGTTTGAACTTGGTCTTGTATAACAGTGACATATTGGTTAGTCTTGATGGCGGGGCTCTTCCCTTGCTCCGTGAAGATTTGGTCCAGCTTTTGCCCAGGACCAAACTTTCAACAATGGTGAGTTCCTTTATGTGTGTAATTTAGTAGATTGATATTGTATTTCTGACTTTGGTATATGTGATGATGATGCATTAGATTATAGAAATGGTGTGTCTGTGCAAGACACTAGAATAACAAAGTTGTGGTCGCTGTGGTGGCTTGTGTTGGTTCTTTCCACCTTCAGTTTCGGTACAGTTGTCTGCTTTGTCTATTCTTTTCATGAAATTAATCTATTTGTTTGTTACATGTAGCTTGTGTGGGTAACTGCGTTTTATTTTTCTAGGATCATGCGTATCATTGCGACGAGGAGCAATTTATGGCTACCATGGGTAAATATAAGATACTTGAGCGATACCGTATAAATGAGCTACTTTACTGCAGTAAGGTATGCTGTAATGTTGTTTTCTAAAAGGAAATGGCTTAACCCTCCTCTGTTAAATTGATAATTATTGTTTGTTTGTGCATTATTTCAGATTCATGTCCCAATTTTCAACCTCACGTTGTCCCACTTCTATCTGGCGGTCTTTAACTTGGATACCAAAGAAATTGAAATCTGGGACTGATTACCAGGAACTCATAACCAAGAATATGATGCAAGGATGCAGAAACTGGTTTGCTGCTTGTCTTGTTCTTCAATTTTTCAAACTTGACTTATTGCTTAGTTGTTAGTTGTTTTTCATTTGCCGACTTTGTCGTTAAATATCGATGAGGGGGATGTTTTCATTTGCAGAAATTGGGTCTAGACTGGTTGCTTAAGGATGATATCTGCGGGGCTTATTCATTTGTGGACTTTGTGGTTAGATATCGCCAGGATGTTGCTTGCCAACCAAATGGGTACCCTTTGTTGTTGTTCAATTGTGCACTATTCTAATTAAGTTCGGTAATTATTTGTTCGCATCATGACCATGGTAATTTTTTGTTATATTACAGATTTGATTGTGGACTATTTGTTGCCAATTACTTGCTGGATCCAGATCGATATTCCAAGAATCTTGACCAGTTCGACAGTGAATATGAACGAGCACAACTTACAATGTACTTGCTCACTACGCATTTGAATGAGGTGCAAGCTACAGTTAAGGCACAATCAGATCAATATTTTGAGAGTCATGCGAGACCTGCCCAAATTGAGCCTAAGAAGGTGAATTTCAAGACGAACTTACTCAATCGAGGAAGAAAGCCGTTGCACGCGGATGGGGAGAAAGTCTAAAAAGCATTGAGAGTTGTGTTGTTAATGTAGAGTTTAGTTAATGTGGATGTTGAATGAAGTTTAGGAAAATGTAGATGTTGAATGAAGTTTAGGAAACTGTTGAAATTACAATGAAGTTATGAATGAAGCATTATTCAGTGATGTTCTCTTTTCTCTATATTATGTTTAATGTGTCGACAAGGAAGAAGTTATGAATGATCATATACCGAAAAATGGTTGAAAATGGACCTTATTCGCCCTGCCAGCAGGCTGTTTCACGGCCTCAATAATCCATTCTCACGCTCGTGAGATTGGGCCGTGAGATGGTGATTTCCCTGACGCCTTAAGATGGACCTTTCACGCCTGTGAGACTGTGCCGTGAGATGGGTTATTCCTTACGCCTTAATGATTGGAGTTTCACGCCCGTGAGACTGGGCCGTGAGAATGAAAAAATCACTCCCTTTAGTTCAGGGAACCTCACGGTCTTGAAAGGTTTATCTTACACCCGTGAGATTGTGGGCGTGAGTTGGTGAATAAAAAATGTCATTCAGAAGGATCAAACCCGCGCGCTTGGCATAATCATTCAGCGCATTAACCAGTTAGACTACCTAACATGTTTTGTAAAATTCATTGTCCATTTTCTTTTCACCACATATGGTTGAATGAGCGTTTGATTATCGGTTTTGGGTTGAACCCATGTAATTGTGAACCGATGTGAGATTGGTTGATGATATATGGTTTAGTGAGTGTTTGATTACAGTTTTTGGGTTGAACCCATGTAATTGTGAACCATTGTGAGATTGGTTGATGATATATGGTTTAGTGACCGTTTGATTACGATTTTTGGGTTGAACCCATGTAATTGTGAACCGATGTGAGATTGGTTGAAGATATATAGTTTAGTGAGTGTTGGATTACGGTTTTTGGATTGAACCCATGTAATTGTGAACCGATGTGAGATTGGTTGATGATATATGGTTTAGTGAGTGTTTGATTAAGGTTTTTGGGTTGAACCCATGTAATTGTGAGCCGATGTGAGATTGGTATGGTTTAGTGAGTGTTTGATTACGGTTTTTGGGTTGAACCCATGTAATCGTGAACCAATGTGAGATTGGTTGATGATATATGGTTTAGTGAACCGATGTGAGATTGGGTTTTGGGTTGAACCCATGTAATTGTGAACCGATGTGAGATTGGTTGATGATATATGGTTTAGTGAGTGTTTGATTATGGTTTTTGGGTTGAACCCATGTAATCGTGAATCGATGTGAGATTGGTTGATGATATATGGTTTAGTGAACCGATTTGAGAGCCGCACTAAAAATATCCTTTTTGGAAAGCTCAATATCTCTGGTGAGATGTTCTTTTATTTCTGGCTCATGAGCAAATCTCTGTTCTAATTCTGTCAATCTGTGTTCATACTCTGGAACTCGAGGAGACAAAGGATCATGTTCAATCGATGGTGTTTGAACTTTCTTTTGCTGAGGGGTAAATTCTTCACCTTGCTTCAAAAGTTCTTTCATCTCAGGACTTAACTCAATCTCAGGCTTGGCAATCATGTCTTTTGTCATCAATTCCATCTGATCAGGATCAACCCTTACTTCCTTCCCTCTTCTCATCTGCTCAATGGCTTGCTCTAACGTGCTGGCATGAATCTCAGCCGATTGATGAGTGGTTGCGATTCCAGGGGCAGAATGCACCATATTCTCAATATCACTCTTAACCGCTTGTGCACTATCAACTTCGTGGGGCTTGATATCAGGATGCTTTCCAGTATTCCCGTGCAACACACCCAAACCCGCACCAATAACAAATTCCGCAGTCATATAGGCTGCGTCTAACTGAGAATAATGCTGAGCTAAATCTTTATACTTTTGGTCGTTTAATTTATCCCCTTGGTGGTTTAAATAGGCACCAATGCTTTGTCTCTCACCTAACCCAAAAACAACGTTGCACCCCCTGTTATAGCCTTGGATAACAGTGATTTGCCATAAACACCTGCAATCCCTCCCCCTACAAAAGTAGCAAGACCGCTGATCCCACCTACTGTCTTAGCGTCTTCATCCTTAACTCCTGCGTCTCTGAGATCTTTATATGACCTTTCCGCTGATGCTAAACTCGCCCCTGACAAACCAACAAGGGGGCTACCACCAGATGCAATAAAACCTGTCCCAAATGATGCTAAAAAATGACCAATACTATGGAAAGTACTACTGATAACACCTGTATCCTCACTGACTGAGTACCAAGGTTTATGCTCCCAAGGATCTTGGGGTTGGTAAAATACCGATGTACCCGGCACAAGAGAAGTTGCAAGATCTACCTCTCCCTCAACGCCTCCTTAAAAAACTCTATTGATGATATATGGTTTAGTGAGTGTTTGATTATCGGTTTTGGGTTGAACCCATGTAATTGTGAACCGATGTGAGATTGGTTGATAATATATGGTTTAGTGAGTGTTTGATTATGGTTTTTGGGTTGAACCCATGTAATGGTGAACTGATGTGAGATTGGTTGATGATATATAGTTGAATGAGCGTTTGATTATCGGTTTTGGGTTGAACCCATGTAATTGTGAACCGATGTGAGATTGGTTGATGATATATGGTTGAATGAGTGTTTGATTACGGTTTTTGAGTTGAACCCATGTAATCGTGAACCGATGTGAGATTGGTTTATGATATATGGTTTAGTGAGTGTTTGATTATGGTTTCGGGTTGAACCCATGTACTTGTGAGCCGGCGTGGGATTGGGTTTACCGTATATGGTTGATTATCGTTCAATTATGGTTTTGGGTTGAACCCATGTACTTTATATGGTTGAATGAGTGTGTGACTATGGTTTTGGGTTTAACCCATCTAATTATAAACCTATGTGAGATTGATTTACGATATATGGTTTAGTTAGTGTTTGATTATGGTTTTGGTTTAACCCATCTACTTGTAACTGACTCGCTATGACGCAACACCTAACAATGGCCAAGTGTAACCAATGAAAGGGACTGCAGTATAGTGGATCAAGTAATAAATATCGAATCCACGGATCTCTAGAGTTACTATTACTCAGCTTCAGTTCATTATCTAGCAAACCAGATTAAGATGGAAGAACTAAAACTACTCTAACAAACTACCGTTAAAGTTAATCTAATTACAGGTTGGGAACTCACTTAGGTATGATTCCCCCTAGCCACTAGCCAGATTAATGATTGATGATCTCTAACCTGTTTCACTAACCTTCACAATGCGGAGAATCCTTGACTAGACCTTGAGTCTCGACTAAAGGAACAAGGCCTCTTGAGTCAATTGCCTAGAGGGACGTATCCTTCTCTAGAACCGATCAAGACGTTCTGAACTAGATTCCCTCTATCGAATGAGGTTCTCAATCGATACAAAGCATTGAATCAACCCTCGACTAAAGCAATCGATCCAATACTATCAATCTATGGTGCTCTATTGGCCTAATTAGGTATTCGCTCTCATAGGATCAAAGCAGAATCAATAATCTCGACTAAAGCAGAATTGAATCATGAAAACATGCATAGATTGAATATGAACTCAAGATTATCAAGTAAGAGTACTCATACAATCATCCAATCAAACAAACATAGCTAGGGTTCCTCAAAACCTAAGTGAAGGGAAGTTACTCCATAGAGAAGAGAGAGACTGCAGTAAGAATCTTCAGATGATCAGTCTTCAAGTCGGGGCTTGTTCCTCGAGCTTCCAAGGTGAAGAAATCCTCCAATTCCACTCCAAGAATGCCCTCAAATCGCCCTTTCTCTCTTTGGTTCGTCCCTTGGGTGTTTGGGATCCAAAACCCAGCTCTCCCTTTCCTTTGGCTTCAATCTGCCTAAAAAACCCGATTCTAGGCAAAACACCGTCGAGGACACGGCCGTGTTTTGCTTTTGCCCGCCCGTGTTTTGCCCCGTGTTAAAAACACGCCTGCGCGCGTCGGCCAAAACACGGTCGTGCCTAAATATGGGCACGGCCGTGTTTTGATTTAGGCGCGCCCGTGTTTTTACTGCCGAACCTGTTCCCCTATATTCAATGCTTTGTTTCTCCCTCGTCCGGACTCCGAATTAGTCGCCGTTTGATCCCAGACGCTCGTAGTCTCGTCCTCTTTCTTTTCATAACAAGATTGCATGATTATTTTTCCATAAAGTGAGGTAGAAATCCATTCTTCTTCAGATCATGCTCGAGTTTCTTCTCCCTAATCGCCAATTGATCTCCGATTGATTTGAAACTTGCGCCTATGCTTCACTTTATGTGCTAGGACCTGAAATGTAACAAAGGAACACAACCTAGCGTAAAATAGGCCAAAGAAGCGATAATGAAAGCTTAAACGATCAAGAAACAAAGGGGAAAACATGTGCAAATATCAAGTCATCATTAACCGATGTGAGATTGGTTGAGAGTATATGGTTTAGTGAGTGATTGATTATATTTTTGGGTTTAACCCACGTACTTGTGAACCGATGTTGGATTGGGTTTACGGTATATGGTTGATTGACGTTTGATTATGGTTTTGGGTTAAACCCACGTACTTTATATGGTTGACTGAGCGTTTGACTATGGTTTTGGGTTTAACCCATCTAATTATAAACCGATGTGAGATTGATTTACGATATATGGTTTAGTGA